TATATATATATATATATATATATATATATATATATATATATATATATATATATATATATATATATATATATATATATATATATATATATATATATATATATATATATATATATATATATATATATATATATGTATGTATGTATGTATGTATGTATGTGTGTATGTATGCATGTATGTATATATATATATATATATATATCTAAAAGCCTTGAAACTGGTGTGTATATGTGTACATACACCCCAACACACCACCCCTTTCCTAAGTCGCATACCGGCGACTTGGTAGTTCGTCCTGAGTCGTTAGCAGGTGTTCGCTTGAGCGCATCCTCAAACGCACTCGCACTAGCACCTCCCAATGACGTCGCTATACTCGTACGGCTACTATCCCCAGGCGTGTCCCATGTATTCATACGTGCGTGTGTGTTGGTGCTGCTACTACCACCCGTGTCTGTGTGGAAGGTGTGGTGTGCATTCTCCCGGGCGTTGTTGGTAGTGCTAGTATTGGCTTTACTGCTCTGAGCGGGGTTCGGTGAGCCGTCGGTGGTGGGTGAGGGATCGTGGCAGAAGACATCCAAATAAGCCTCTCCTGCACGCACAGCCCGTTTGTCTGTGTACAACAGAATGAGTGAGTGTGTGTGTGTTGGGAGGAGGGGGGGGGGGGGGGGCGTATGTGTATGTGTGTGCAACATATACAATGTGTGTGCAACATATACAATGTGTGTGCAACATATACAATGTGTGTACAGGTCTATATAAGTATAGGGTATAGCAGTATATGAATTTCAAACATGCCTATAGTTATCAGACCACACAGATAATACCTATGTATACAAGTACATGAATATCAATCATGCCTATACAACTATAGACAACTCGAATAATATACTTGTATATAAACACATACAACTACAGATCACTCAGATAATACATATATATATTAAGTACATGAATATCAATCACGCCTTGATAACTATAGAGCACTCGGATAATACACATGTATATAAATACATACAACTACAGATCACTCAGATAATACATATGTATATTGAGCACATGAATATCAATCACTCCTTTATAACTGTAGACCACTCGGATAATACACATGTATATAAATACATACAACTACAGATCACTCAGATGATACATATGTATAAAAGTACATGAATATCAATCATGCCTGAGGCAAGGGGTGCCCTGAACCCTTATAACTCTAAATAAGTAGAATAACTCGATCATAAACCATTGAATACACACACATGTATGGCTTTCCCACCTATGTGTATCTAAACAAGAGATGGTGTGGGATGTGTAAGTCTCACTCGCACACCTGTAAGCTTGAGTGTTTTGAGTTCAACACTCAGAAAGGCGTTGCCATCGGATGTGTACTGCGAATGTACCACCAAACTCTGACCGATGATTTTGCAGAAGTCATGACCTCTCTCCCGTAGGTATTCATTCTCACGTTGATAGTAGAACACTGCCTCAATGGCCTGGATGTTAAAGTCGATCTGAGGGTGCATGCACAGGACAC